CAGGTAATGTTGTAAAAGGAAGTAACCGGTGAACAGAACGCCAAACAGAACCATGGGTGTCTCAAAATTGAATTCGTGATAAATATTTGAGTCATCATGGCGGTACCTGTACGTGTTAACTGAAAGTGACCAGAGGCAGGTATTACTATTACTGCTGAAATTATAAGATGTACTGTTAAAGACAGGCTCGTCCTTTGTAAGCAACTGAAGAGCCAAATTGGCCTGAAAGGGGATCTTCATGCGGCTCTTTCCCTCTGAGGGCAGCCACTGCTCAATTCGCCGAGTTGGATGACGTCACCGCTGAGCGCACGATACGAAGGCGCGCGTCGTGACAGCACAGCTCGTAAAAACAACGTTGTGAGCTAGCTTGATCAACTGAGATTTAGGAACTAATAGGAACGAGTTTCTGTGGTGCGACAACATAACAGCTGGCCCTAGTTGTCTCTTTGAGTTCATTTTTATAGGGAATATTTTAACGTTAATAAATATTAATTTCGATTTACTAATAAAAACTATTATCAGCAGCCAATTTCTTGTCCACTAGAGCTGACTCTTGACAGTTAAGGAGCCGTGCCTGCTTGTATCTCAACAACAACCCCACCTTTCCTCCTCAAACACCAACTCCACCCCCCCCCCCCCCCCCCCCCCCCCCCCCACCCTCACTCCCTATTTCTTTCCCGTGCAGTTCTTTCACCAGAAACCTTGCAAAACAAAACAAGAAACTTAACAAAATCATTCGGATTGACTGATTGATCAAAATGTTTCTTGCTTCCATCGACACAGTTGTGGGTGATTGGCGGATGCTCTGGTGAGGTTCGCTCCTTCTTACCTATCAAACATCTGTCGTCCTTACCTCTTCCCAGAGAATACGAACTGGCTTCAATGCTGTATGCTCCCCCAGGGGACCGAAATGGCAATTTCTCAAAGATGTTCCCATTTGAGAATCGCGAACCCCCATCTTTCGATGATAATGTCAAAGAATCTGATGTCTAAGACACTGAAGGTGCTGGAAGAAAGGGCTCGTCGTCGTTCTTGTTGTTGTTTCCTGGTGGAGTCTTTTACTTGTGTGTTATTAACTTGTTATTGCTGTTGTTTCATGGGACTGTTTGATTTTGTTTGGTCTCTTTTTTCTCATTTATTTCTTTGCTAATGATTGTTTCGTTGGTTTTCTTTTTGGGGTGAGATTGCGGGTTCCGGGATTCGAGCCTCAGCTTGATCCGATGTTGTGCCTTTGGGAAAGACGTTTTACTCGATTTTCCAATTATTTTGACTTGGTCCTTTCGGAAATAGGTGTTGAGCTTGGGGGTCCGGCCTCTTATATAACTAGCAATTCGGGGCG